ATTCAGTATAAGATCGGCTTAAATTAGCATTTTAATCTTAGTGGTTTGCTTAGCTAAAAAGTCTTTTACTTGGCTTTTCAATAAAATTTTTTTTGCTTTTTAGATTGATAATTTCTAAAAGGCATTATTTGCTATTATTTATTATATCTTCATAATCATTTGTTATCTACAGCTATATCAAACATCTTTTGGTAAAGATACTAATATTTGTAGTAAAAATGACTACAATGATAGCTTGCAAATATTGAAGTTATATTACTTCACAGCATGAGTAATGTGTATTAAATATATGTAACCGATATTCAAATAAAATTTGGGATCTATTAATCTTTAAAGAGGAAAGGTCATACAGTTCAAACCATATAAACCTTCTATAATTATGTTCTTGTTTCTAGAGCTCTTTGATATGCAGGTTCTATTTGTTTAGTCTCTAACATAACAGAAATATATCCAAATGTTAGTGTTATGTAGTTACCCTTTTTTTCCCTCATACAAGGATTCTTAGGAGTTGAAAAGCTCAGAAAGGATGTATTTTATTGTTCAGAGTTATTCTGTTTTATTAGTTAGTTTGCACATTGTCTTTAGAGGAGGCCAGGAGAGTAGATCTAACTTATTTTACTTCTCAGGACACAATTATATCTAAACTTATAATGAAAATTCTAATTTAGAAATAGTCACAAAACCAAAGACTTGCTTTTGAGAATATGTAAATTTTTTGAAGTAATTTTTACCTTATGTGATACTTATGCAGATAAACATTTTTCCCTAGCAAATAAGTATGATTGAAGACTAGAATAGATTTAATTTTAAAAGGCTGTGTTAACCAGTTTGTTGTAAGTATTTCAAATTGTATATAAAACCAGCACATTGTACCCCGTAAATGCATTATTGTACACAGCTATGATTTAATAAAAAAAATTTTTAGTTTTCCCCAGTCATATAATATTAAAGGACATTTAAGAAAAAGTAATTCGTATTTTCTCTTTATTGTGGCAAAATTTTTCTCATTCCATTATATAGTAGATCTCATCACTTTGTAAGACTCTATACCATAGTTGATAGAGCCTCAGCTTAAGTCAAGCTATATAGTATTGGAGTCTAAGTTACAGGCCCTGAATTCTGTTTTTGGCTCTGACATATACTAAACTTGGGAAAGTTACTTTAATTTCTCTGTGTATTCTCCTTCTCCTTACTCTCTAAAATTAGAAACAACTTTCCTCCTAGCTTAACTACGAGTGATGTTGGGAGAACTTGTGAAAGAAACTGAAGGAAAAAGGTCATTAAGGAAGCTCTTACAGCAAGAATAATAATTGGGGAATGAAGACCAAGAAACAAAGGGCTTGATGTGAAAATTTGTGTGACAGTCCTAAAGATCAGTGGTTGGCATATAAAGAAGGAATATGTGGATTATTTCTAGTAGTGTGAAGAGATTAAGAGTTAATAGAATATTGGG